TAGAACTAGACGATTGCTTAGAAGCAATCTTCTCCTTCATTGGAAGCAATGTAAAATGGCTTTCATCCTTGAGAATGGTGCAAGTGTTCTAATTGCCATCATGCAAAGATTGCTAGTCATATTGCCAAGGACACTCAAGTAGAATGTGACAAGCATCCATAGGCACTACATCACACCTTACCTCATCAAAGTACTTTTTCTAGAATAAAAAACAATCAAACACCGTTTGGTCACTTTGATCTCATTGCCTTTCTTGAACCGAGATAGTGAATAAGGATGTGGATGGTCCTCTACCGGAAGGTTGAGTTTGGCCACCTGCTCTTGAGAAACCACGTTCTCACAACTTCTACTATCAATGATCATCTTACAAACACGTTAACCAATATTGCAAGTGGTAAAGAAGATATTGGTGCACAACCAATCTTCTTGGCTCTCTAGCTGTCTTCTTCAACATAATAGCAAGACCCTCTTCTTCATCACTATCTCCACTAATTTCAATATTGTCCGAAGTGTTATAAATTGAAACACTCTCATAGTCACCATGTTCCTCAACTTTTTCAATAAGAAGTGTCTTTCTCCGCCTAGTATGCACATTCTTGTGGCAATAAGAAGATCTATGGTCCAGTTCTCCACACTTTAAGCACTTGAAAGTTCCACCGTGAGGTGGATTTCGGTTTCTGAAAGCACCATTAGGACGAGGAGCTTTAGAGGGCTGTTATGAGCTGGCCCTTGAGCTGATTTGTTTCTTGATTGATGTAATGGGCTGTTATGAGCTGGCCCTTAATTCATCATGTCTTATGGCACTCCTGTAATTATGCTTTATTTCTAATATAAAGGGGAGGAGGTCTCACTCATTCCCTATATCTTTCTCTTCCCTAAAACTTTCAGATGCAACACAAGAAATTCAACACAGATGGATTGAAGGCTTCAAGAATCACTTACCCACAAGTTGAATAACCCAGATTGATTCAACAGTCTGCAACATGAAAGTCGAGATTAACCAGCAACCAAGCTTTAAAGGAGAAAAAGTCGACTGTAGAAGAAGTTCTTCTTTGATCAACCCAGGTCATAAGAACAGCATGGAATCCCAGATTGTAAATCGTGATTGAACCAGAAATCGCACCCCAACAATGGACCAATTTCCAAACCAAAAACCCCAATCCAACCGCGAAGTCCAGTTGTGAAGTTGAAATTCAGAGGTTGTGATCTTTGGGTCAGGGACACATTCAAGAACTGAGCTCTCGATGACGCAAGTTAGATCTGAAATCCAAAGTACCTTCGAACGCGACTCAAGAACTCGAATCTAGGTTGAAATCATGATGATTCCAGAGGCTTTGAATCGATTTTGCGATGCTCGTCTTTCGTGATGGAGAGTTTAGCTGTAACTTTCGAAGTCTAATAGATCAAGATTCACTCGCGAGTTGATCTGCGAAGTCCTTTCAATCAATGACAACAAAGGCCCAAATCAGGTAGATGAGTTCCATAATAGTGAATTAGGTGATCAACCAATCAGCATAAGAGATATTAGGATCAAGACCTAATGCTCTGATCCCAAATGATGATGGGCCCAATCAAGAACATGAGAGAGAATTTAGAGAGAAATATCTCAATCAATCAATGTTCAATATCTAAAAGTTAGTTACAAAGTGGTTTTGCCTCTTCTAGATATGGGCTACAATTTCCCTCCATTAACTATCACATGTGCACATGATATCCTACATCACTCTTCCTACACATGTAAGCTGGGACCAAAACAATAGCATTCACACTAAGTGTTATGATTTCTGGTTCAAACCCCCTTTCTCTTTGTTGTGTTTGCTTCCCCTAACCTGCCCTTCTATTTTGTAATTTTTTCTCCATTTTAACCCTAAACTAGCTCTGAAAAGTTTTTCAAAAGATTGGATTCTAGCCCTTCTGATTGAGTCGCAACTCCTGATATCTGCATTTTTTTTTTGTTGGAAATACGATGGTGGAAAATCTCCCTTGTTGGTCCCCCACTCTTTGGATTGCAGTTCTGTGGCTGCTTTAAGTTGTTAACACTGTTATGATGTTTGCATCTCATTCTCGAAGCCATATTTCTTCTTCTTTTGTTTTCAATTTTTGGTTGTTTTAGGTCTGGTTAGTGGTAGGGGGTAATTTCCATTGCATGGTTTGATCTGGGGTTTCAGTAAAGAGAATGTTCAATGGGTGGTGGCTTTTGCTTTTGATAATAAGACTATTAGAGAACGCGCCAATGCATTGTGGTTTTTGGGGCCATTTTATGTGATGTGCTAAGGTTAGCGGTTTACTATTGAATAGGTTAATCTATTTCCAATATGTGTCTATATACAACATTATCCATATATAAACAAATATATGTGTATATATATCTTAATTATGTAGTTTTTATGATATTAATTGGGTTCTAGTCTTTGTGGTTTAGTACTTCCACTTTGTATTGATTTATTTTTATTTTCATTTGGACATGTTTAATGCTATTTAAGTTTATTTGGTGGAGATTTCAATCGCTTAGTAAAAGATAAGCAAAGGTACATGAGGGTACATTGTGGATTTGATTTTGGTGAGTGAAATGAGGCCGAAGAGAGCAAGCTATTTAAAAGAGAGTACTCTTAATAATTTTTAAAAGTGGGTCGAATAGATTATTTATGTAAAGTTTGCAAGGTTATTTACAGAGAGATTTGAACCTCACAACCTAGGCTAACAATATTAGATATAGACATTAAAGGGCAAAATAAAATTAGAAAAGATATTCAAAACCCACAAATTAGATGGTGGAATCTAAAAGGTGAGAACTTGGAAATTTTTAAGAATAAAATGTTAAAAGAAACAAAGTGATGTTTGAAAGGTGATGCTAATGACATGTGGAATATATTGGTGGTATGCATTAAAAGAATATCGAAGCAAATCCTTGGGAGTATCAAAGGTAAAAGACCTTAAAAGATACTTGGTGGTGGAGTAGTGTGAGATACAAGCTGTACTAGAAGCAAAAAGTGAATGTTTTAGAAAGTAGAAAAAGGATAAAAATGAGCAAAATTTTAAGAGATACAAGTTGGCTAATGAGGAGCTTAAAAGGACAATTAGAGATGGTAAGTTAAAAGCTTTGGACAATCTTTATACTAGGTTAGATGGTAAAGATGGAGAAATGAATTTACAAACTTGCTAATTTTAGAGAAAGGAAAACAAGAGACTTCAATCAAGTTATGTGTAAGAACTGATGACTAAAGGGTGTTAGTGAAAGATGATGAGATTAAGGAAGGGTCAAAAAGTTATTAATTGTTTATTAGGTTCCATCAATGATAAGTTTAAGTCCTTACTTATTTGACTTTAGTCATGGATGAACTAACTAAACACATTTAGGATGGATTATGTTCCATGGTGTATGTTGTTCGTGGATGTTGTGATTTAGTAGATGAAACCATGGAAGGAATTAACAGTAAATTAGAAATCTAGAGAGAAACACTCAAGTTAGGAGGGTTTAAAATTTGTAGAAATAAAATTGAATATCTCAAATGTAACTATACACTTCGTTTGGTTTCATGGTTTGGGAGGGGAAGTGAAGGATTTGGAGGGATAAAGTTTGTTAAAATGATGCTTGGATTAGTTTTAATGAGGGAAATGGAAGTGCATGGAGGGATTATGAGAGGTAGAGAGTAAAAACATTTTAAGCACTTCACTTCCTCTTCAAAATTAGGAGGAAATGGAAGGTAAGTGAAGTGCTTCTCATAATTATATATCAAAAATACCTAAATAAATATCTCTCTCATTAATTTAATATTATCTAACCAAACAAGAGGAAAGAGACTTCACTCCCTTTCCTTCTCACAACTAACTCTTCCCTTCACTTTCGCTTCTCTCAATCCATACAGTGTGTAGTAATAGTAGAAGATAATGGAGAAGTGAAGATTAATAACAAATCATAAGCATTCTTTGTTGCCTAGGATCGATTATTAATAAGGGTGGTGAAGTTGGAGATGGACTGAGACTCTCCCCGCCTTGGACAGCAATTCCTGCACTTGATGTCAGATCTCCTCATTTTCAAATGGGGATAAGCAATAAGCCACTTTGCAGGGTAGACTTGCTCCTACCAATGTGATCCACATAATCAAAATAGGTTGGCTTGGCTCAAGTGGCGAAGTGCATAACGCATATTATGTGATTGATGAATACTAACAAAATTGAAAGGAAAATTTATAGAACAACTATAAGGCCAATGATTCTTTATAGGACAAAATGTTGGGCAACTAAGAAGTAGTACGTTCATAAAATGAGTGTAGTTCTAATAAGCATGTTTAGATGTATGTGTTGTAGGACTAGGAAATATATAATTAGAAATGAATACATTCGTGAAATAGTAGGAGTTTCACCAGTTAATATAAGTCATGCTTTGAGAAGTGTCATGCTTTATTAAAAAAAAATAAAAAAAAATACGATTATTGTGATGCAATCGAAATGCAGTAAGAATATCATATTAAGAGAGAGAAGACAAATCCCCAGCCTGGGGGTAAACCCCTTGGGCTAGAGAAACCAAAGCAATTGGCTCTAATCAAATCTATATTCTTGTAACAAAAAAACAAAGCAAAATAGATGTTACATCTGCTACATGGTCTTGGGTAGATTTCACCCCAAAAGCTTTTGGTGTGAGTTCTACTCAAGACCGTGTAACAACATCACCTATTTATAGACCACAACTAACAGGACACTTAACCCACTAATCAGACATTTGCATACAACTCATGACATGTAAGCATATGACTAATTTTTGACAATTATGGCATTTATCCTACAACATCATATTGAGTATCATGTTATGATGAATACTAAAAGTTTGGTTCATTTTGGTGCAACTATTAGATATGGTGCATATTTTTGACTTGGTTATATTGGGATTGTAACCTGTTAATACTTCTGATATGTGTTTTATTTTCTATCTATCTTGATCAAATGAAGTAAATTGTCCTTCCGTTTCCTTAAATTTTCTTTTGCATTTTCTCTGCTTGCAGGTATCTATTGTCAGCCACGTTTTTTCTCTAGCTTCATATGCCTCAGACCCTGTGGTTCCTTTCTTTTCCAGAGAAACAATTGTTCATGCAATTCAAACAGTTGTTGATGGATTCCTGGACATGTGAAATACTGTTATTGCACCCTTTGGTTTATGTTGTTGGGCTGTAGCTGCTTTGCATCTAAGTGACTTCTTACTGTGTTTTTGTAGGGAGGATTGTCCTAGAAGTTTTGGTGTTGTCGACAAGATGAACATTTTTCGCCCTGATAGAGTTTTTATGGTGATGATTCAATCCCTCTATTATCTAGATTTAATATTATTTGAGTATTTCCCCCCATGCAACCTTGTTTTATTTGTTTATTTTCATCTAAAGTCATTTAATAGTGGCAAACACCTGTCGTGTACTTTCTCAAAGCATCTACTGTCATGATTGTGCAGTTCATCATTGAAATGCATTACAAAGTTACAGCAGCAGTTCATTATAGACACAAATGTCATCGGTTGGCTGGAATTGAGGTTCTCGTTAGTATTCTTGGGCATAGAGCTGCACTTCCGAGCACTTTTAAGTGAGTTTACTATTATCAGGTCTCAATTTGGTTAATTAAAGGATTAAAATGAAAGAAATTAATTCAGCTTTCAGTCTTCTATGATGATGGATATGGTTAGATCTGTACAGTCAAACTGTACACAGTGGGCAACTTTTATATTGCTTTGTGTTGTGAAGCTCAAATCATCATATTCCTTTCCCTTACCTTTGGCCTTCAATCAGAAGTTAGATCTATAAAATAGTGGCTGTACAATGAAGCAACTAATTTCTGAAAGTGCTACAACCTTATGCTTTGGAAATTGTCAATTTCAGCCTGTTTGCTTGTACAATATTTGAAATTTTCTCCGACCTTTTATAAAATCTAAACCTAGAAACTTTTTGTTTTAAACCCCCTACAAAATTAATTTTTGGCAACATTATCTGATCTTTCCCGGTTTGTCCTGCATCACTTTGGTTTTTGTGCTTGGCTCTTCTAACTTGTGCTGTAAGTGAGCATTGGATCTTCTTGATTCACTTTGACAATTTTTTTTGTGACCATGGCATATCGGAGGGATTTTTTTCATGACATTTTGTAGTTAATTTGAGGAAGATTTTGTCTGCTTGACAGAAGAGAAGCCATTTTTATCTTTATGTGTATGTCATGCCAATGCAAAATCAGAAAGCAACACTGAGTTTTAATATCACAATGACATGCTGCAGTTTTCTGCATCATATATATACATGTATATTTACTTATTTAAAGCATAATTTGTTGTCTTCAAAAATTTGCTTACCAAGACTTTTACATTAATTTTCTGTACTATTCAAGTGTCTGGTCCGCTTCCTCTTTTCTTTTTCTTTTTTTTCTTTTCTTCTATTCCTTTTCTTCCTAGTGCAAGCAATAAGTTGTGTTTTATTGTTTCATCATGAACTAAGTGGAAGTGACCATTGTAATGTCATGTCAGCTCAATTTCCTCTAGTTAGCAAACTCAAGGTTGCTCAAGCTCCACCCTTTCACAGAGGAAGCTGATAATTTACGTTTGAGCTGGACTCTATTACTATGGGAGCAAGCTCAACTAGTTTTAATTGATCCACGGACAAGTGAAACTTATGTCAGAGCTAGCTGATAATTTATGTTTGTGCTGGACTCTATTACTATGAAAACATGCTCAACTTATTTTAAACGATCTGAGCACCAGTGCAACTTGTGCCTCTTGGTGATAGTGTAGCCCCACACTTCCAGTGGGTGAACTTATGGATTGCCTTCCTCAAAGTGCAATCCAATACAATTTTAAGAATTTGGCGGTTTGGAGAGGTGTACATTTAGTTATTTCTGTTGAGGGCTTGGATGTGGTTGATTTTAGCTTTATTAAGGGCTGTTCCAATGTTGTTTCTTTTTCTTCTTTTTTTTTTTTTTTTTTTTTTTTTGGGGGGGGGGGGGGGGACATTTATAGATTGCATCCTGTTTGTTGAACAAATTTTCTACAATTTTAAAAACATAAAGAAAAATAAGAGAATTTCTGACATTACGTTTCGATTATGGCAGCTTGAGTTAGTTTTCATGATTAACACGACTATTCTTGTTTAATGGTTTGTTGACTTCAGTTTTATGCTTTATGATCTAATGTTTGACTTCTTACAGTTATCTTTTCAACTTGGTGGGGCAATTTGTTGGTTGTCATGCTTTACAAGATCAATGTTGTCATATCATTTCCTCATTGCTCCAATCATTTAGAAGCAAACCATCAAAGGAAACTGCTAGGGTGCTTGGTGAACAACTTCAGGTTTATATCTTATGTCATTTCGTAGTTTATTTTTGTTACATGTGCTGATGTTTTCTCGTTAACGTTTGCTGTGTTATGCAGTTTTTGGTGTCCAAGTTGCTTGCATGCTGCATTCCTCCGGAATCTAACAGTGATCTTTCTGGCACCCAATCATCTCAAGTTGTTTCATTGTTTAATCAGCTTACTGTGGATTCTGACCCATTGCTACATGATTACATCAAAGTATATCTCTTCTGCTCCCTAGCCATAGAGACGTGTCTCTTCTGATTACAATAAAATATTTATTGGGTGCGGGGAAATACTTGTTTTTTAAGTAGGATTTTAGCTTCTTTGATCACTTTGATTTGATTGAAATCTAAGAAGCACGGACACTGTTAGAATAATATCTTTGTTATTGTTCCCCAAGTTTGATTTTCCCTAAAACAATCACTTAAAATAAAGTTGTGTCATGTCGGACATTGTGTTGTCTATCAGCACAACACATCACTCGTAGGACACTTCTCAACATCTGTCAGACACGTGCAAACATGTCTCACTATTTTTATAAATTCTCTGGACTTGGACATGCTTAGGACAGTTGGGAACACGTGTCTATTTGGTTGGACAGATGAAACATATTACATGTTTGAATGAAATAACTTGAAATCTAATGATAAAAAAGTCAACTTTAATTTATATGTATTTTTCTCTTTTAGACTTAAAATTATTATCTTTGACTTAAATATTCATATTTGAGATAGGATCTAGGATATATAGTGTTGGCGATTTTCGTATGACAACGCTCGAGACTTAGGAATGTGTTGTAAATTGTAATGGAGTGTGTTGAAAGTGTTCAAATTGAAGAATTAGATCAGCGGTTGCAGACATCATTCCGTTCCTACCCTCATAGGTATATTTGCATTTTATGGAATGTTTTCTTAGAACACTCGTGTTTTCAAAGTGCACCAGTTTTGGTCTTTTTACATTAGATGAGTATTACATTGGTCTTAGGGTGTTTTTCTAGCAAAATTTGGTGAGTCTGCCAATTTTTCGAGATATTTTTAAGCGATCGATCCCTCACAACGGACTGATAGGGGATGGATTGTTAGTGTCGAGCTAAAGTAGTTATTTTTCATTCTATAATGTAGGGATCACTTGGGGATTGATCACCTCTAGGGAGAATAAGCCTAATTTGACTTGTGTTAGGTTTTTGACTGCTCTTTTCATATATAAAGGACTCTAAATTGTTTTTTCGGTGAAAGCCTTTTATTTTGAGCAGCTCTAAGAGTTCTTTAGAGAGTTTAGTGTGTTTTACAAACTTAGCATCTTTTGGGTAGCTGACAGAATATGAAAAATCTCTTGTTAATATTCAACCAAAGAATTTACAGAAATATATAGGAAAAAACTAAGGTATAAAAGTAAACTCCCCTAAGACCTTATCCCCATAAATCTGGGATATTAACATTCTAATTATAGGACATATACATAGATATATACACAGCTGTAATACACATTTTTCCCATCTACTGAGCTATCAAATCTTCATAGTCTATTTATACCATAATTACCGATTCTAACCCTCCCCCTCATGCAAGTGAGTGGATATTCTCCACTCCTAGCTTGTTCACGATAGATTGAAATACAGAACCATTCAATCCTTTAGTGAACACATCTGCAAGTTGACCCTTGGTTGACACAAATGGGGTACCAATCAGTCCGCTTTCTAACTTCTCCCTTATAAAATGCCTGTCCACTTCCACATGCTTGGTGCGCTCATATTGCACAGGGTTATGTGCAATATTAATTGCCGACTTGTTATCACAATATAGCTTCATTGGTCCTTTCCACGCAATCTTCAAGTCTTCCAAAACTATTTTCAGCCATAGAAGCTTAGAAACTCCCAATGCCATAGCTCTGAACTCAGCTTCTGTGCTTGACCTTGCAACTACATTTAGTTTCTTGCTTCTCTACGTTACAAGGTTCCCTCCAAGGAGTGTACAATAGCCCAAAGTCGATCTTCTGTCATCAACTGATCCGACATAATCTGCATTTGTGTATGCTTCCAATGTTAATTCATTGCCTCTTCTAAATAATACTCCTTTTCCTGGAGTACCTTTTAAGTACTGTAGAATTCGATGTGCTGCTTGAAGATGTACTTATTTTGGGTTGTGCATAAATCGACTCACTACTCCTATAACATAGGCTATGTTTGGTCTGGTATGAGAAAGATATATTAGTTTGCCAACTAATCTCTGATAGAATTCTTTATCTACCACCGCATTTTTAGGAGCTTCACAGAGCTTCTGATTCTATTCAATGGGTGTTTCCATTGGTTTACACCCTAGTTTCCCAGTCTCATTTAATAAATCCAGTACATACTTCTGTTGGGATATAAAGATCCCATGTCGAGAGTGAGCCACTACAATGTCGAGGAAGTATTTTGACCTGCCGAGTTCTTTGACCTCAAACTCTTGCAATAAACACTTTTTCAATGCCTCCATTCCTTGCAAGTAATCTTCTATTACTATTATATTATCCACACAGACTAATAGATCTGTAACTCCCCCTAAAACAGAATGTTTGACAAACAATGTGTGATCACCCTAACTTTGTTTGTAACCCAAAGCCTTCATTACTCTAGCAAACCCGCCAAACCAAGCCTTGGGAGATTGTTTTAAGCCATAAAGTGCCTTTTTTACCCTACACACCTTATGTTTTTCTGACTCATATCCTGAAGGAACCCCCATATAGGTTTCTTCATCAAGATCACCATTTAAAAAGGCATTCTTTACGTCAAATTGCTACAAATTCCAACCACGATTAGCTGCTAAAGATAATAGGATTCTTACAATATTCATTTTTGCAACAGGAGCAAATGTGCTGGAAATTTGTGTTAATGTATATAATATGATAGTGGTGTTGGTGGCATGTATAGAATATGATAGTGGTAGATAATAAGATAGTGGCATATGATAGTGGTGTTGGTGGCATGTATATAATATGATAGTGGTGTTGGTGGCATGTATAGAATATGATAGTGGTAGATAGTGGTAATATATAATATGTAAGTGGCATATAATGGGTTATAATGATGTTTGTAATATCTCCTATATAAGGAGTGTCATTTGCTCTTGTAAGATAAGAAGTTTTGAATATAACAGAAATATATTCCTTCTTCCTCATATTTTTGGAGTTCTTCTTCCTCATATTTTCTAAGTTGGTATCAGAGCAACAAAAAACACAGCAGCCCTAAAACCGTCATAGCCATGTCGGAAGTCACCTCCGAAACCACTTCAACCCCTGCCGCTGTCATTCCGGTGAAAACGTCCAACTCTCACTCTGTCCAAATCACCACCATCCGCCTAAATGGTGATAATTTTCTCCGCTGGTCACAATCTGTCCGGATGTATATCCGTGGGCAAGGAAAGATCGGTTACATCACTGGTGACAAGAAGGCTCCTGCGGTTAATGATCCGCTGTTCGACAATTGGGACGCTGAAAACTCCATGGTTATGACATGGTTGGTCAATTCCACGGAGGAGGATATAAGCTCTAATTACATGTGCTATACTACTGCACAAGAATTGTGGGATAATGTTAGTCAGATGTATTCTGACCTAGGAAATCAATCTCAAGTTTTCGAATTAACTTTGAAGTTGGGAGAGATTCGTCAAGGAGATGATTCCGTCACCAAATATGGAAGATTCAGCATCCAAAACATACAGGCCCCCATGTGCCTTACCACTAGCAATCATTCTTCCCGTATCCAGTTCCTGAAAGACACAATGAGAAGGATAAAAGGTAATGGAACAATTTAACGAAGTGGTAAGACAACTAACAGAGAGCAAATTAGTAGAGAAATTTGGGACATGTAACACAGAGGATAGAGAAATAGAAGGGGAGCAAGAAATTGAGCCTGTCCCAGATACAAAGGATAAAGATCCATCGGCAACTCACTTTATCCTTGCCAGAACAAAGGGAGTAAGAGTAGAAGAGGTTAGACAAACCTGTCATATGATCGGTAGCACCAGAGTCAATAATCCAAGGAGATGATGAGACAACACTCAGGGCACGCGAAGGAATACCTGTGGAAGCAAAGTTAGAGGAAGGGGGATCAGGAGCAATGGCAGGAGAAGAATCAAGCCGAGCCATCAGACGTCGGAGAGTATGTAACTCATCTTGGAAAAGTGCTGCAGGATCACTCGAAGTGTTAGGAGATGACTCCGAGAGATGTAAATGAGAACGAACAGTACCACCATGAGAACCACGACCACCACATCGTCCTCAAGTAGGACGACCATGCAACTTTCAATAATGGTCCCAATCATGACATTCTTTCCCCTAATAATCACAAATGATCTGATCATTAAAGAAGCCTTTGCCTCCAGACTTGGACGGACCAACTTTTTCAACTGTAGGAGCAAAAAAGACGGCTATAGCAAAGCAGTCTTAAAGAGGCTGATGAACCATAGCACTCTACCTACTTTCTTCCTGCAAAACATAAGCATAGGCCTCATGCACAATAGGAAACGGATCACGACCAAGGATCTAAACACGAATTGAATCATATTCTATGTTGAGACCAGCAAGGAAGTCATACACACACTCTTTGGACACCATCTGCTGAAACATAGTTACATCTTGGGAACACACAGCCTGGAAATTTTGATAATCGTCAAGTTCCTGCCATACACTACTCAACTCTAAATAATACTCAGCGAGAGATCTATTTTTCTGATCAAAACCCCGAATCTTTTTCTGTAGTTCATAGGCCTAAGCATCATTACCGCGGCGGGAATACATCCAATTTGCAGCAATCCAAATCTCATGAGCAGTGTCCATCAAAACAAAAGACCAACTAATATTATAATGAATAGAATTGAGTAACCAGGTCATAACTAGGGCATTCTCCTTATTCCATTTGTCACGTGTTGGTCCATCCTTCGTGGGAGCCTGAGTAATGCCTTTGATGTATCCCAACAAGCCACGAGCAATAATAGCCAACTGAAAGAAACGGGACCATACTAAGTAATTGGTGTCATCTAACTTAACAGAAGTAAGTTGGAGAGAAGAGTAATCACCAAGTATCACACTAGGACCTAAACTCTTAGTCTCATTGTTGGCAGGAATGACACCTGCAGCAGCCATTAGTTAAGACCACACAACCAAATGAAAGTTGAGATGAAGAGAGAACAAACCTCTGTTTGGAAGTATAAATCTCACCAAGGACAAAACCAGGAAGC